GGCAGAGAGCCGTGACAGGATCGAGAGGTGAGCGAACGTCGCTATGTGTTCGCTCACCTCCCGATCTACTGAGCCGACCTGTGACAGTCTCATTGTCACAGGTCATTTAGAACTATTAGGTGAGTGAAAAGCACTCACCTCATAGTTCTCCTTTAAGAATTACACATTGTGCAAAAATGCAGACATGCTGAAACAGATGGTGACCTTAACAACTTTTAAGGCTAGTTCACACCATGTCTGGGTCATATCCAGACTAGAACAGTTTGTTCCCAGAACAAAAAGGCATCCCAATGTATCCCTATAGAATTTCTGGGATCAGTTCACACCAGGGCAGTTCATTCCGATCCAGACAAAAAAAATACTCGTCTCATTTTCTCTGGTATGGAATGCACTGAAACTAATGGAAGCGCATCAAAAATGCATGCAAACGTACTGGAACATACTGGACTGCACCTGAAAGCCCGTTTTGAGCTAAAAAAAAATAGTGGCAAAATCATGGTGAAACGCAGCAAAAATGCACTGCATGCAGACCTGCTCCAGATCTAGTTCGGACATGGTGTGAACAAGCCCTTAGAGTTTAACCACCTGAAGATCGGGGTGTTAAACCCCCTTCCTGTCTAGGCCATTTTTCAGTATTCAGCGACAGGGTACTTTGACATTTATTCAGTCATGCAATGCCAAATTAAAATTAATTTTCTTAAATTTTTTGGCACAGGTAGAGATTTTTTTCGGTGGTATTTAATCACCACTGGGAGAAATAACACTGAAACCTGAAGTGATATAATTCACATCACTTTACAATTGGAGGAGAGATCAGCCGCTGGAACTTTGCTAATTTCCCTCTGATCAATGTACACAGACCTGCCGTGCCAGTCTCGGGTCTGCACAGGAGACAGCGGAACCCGAGATAGCCGGCAGAAGTGGCAGAGGGGGGCTGCACACTCCCACGCACCATACAAGCAATTGGAAGGCTCTATATCTGCCAAACAAGCAAAACAAAAACGAAAAACGCACTCATCAAAAATACACTGTCTAACTACCAAAGTTAAAAACAGAGGTTTCAGTTGCACAATTTTTGCAAAATATGTGTAAGCCACACTACCTCGTCAAGGCCCCTCTGTGTACTGTGGTCCTAACTCTAATCTATGAGAGCCTCCATTCTAGAGCATATATAGCTAGGAATGAATTGAGTGCAGGTTTGCCAGGAGGTAGCCGAACCTCCTTAAAAAGGTACAGGGACACACCAGAAGCCCAGCACATCACAATAGCAGCTGAAGCCCCCAGTGCGTCCCCACACCAAATCCAACAAGCAAAACAAATGGCAAACGCACTCATCAATTCATAACTAGCTTTAAAGCAAAGTGCACATAGCTGCCCAAATGCTTGTATGCAACAGCCATCGCTAACAAATGTTTACAGTGTCCTGCTTATGCGTACACTAGGGGGGGTGGGAATAAATAAATCACCCGCAGCGAGCCATCCCTCCATTTATATACAACGGATGGACGGCAAGTTGTTAAAGTGTATGTAAACCCTAACAAAAATGTTTCCTTATTCACTACCTTTTGGTATGTTAAATATATAAACTATACAATTAAAAGTGTTTTTGTTCAAGAAGTATAAAAAATACATGTTAACCCTGCCAGAAATCCAGTGAGCTTGTAGTTTCCTGTACACTCTGTCACTGCAGGTATCAGTGTTACCAGACATGTCCACTTCTCTCTGTACATATCAGAGCACCCCCTTAATCTTCATGCAGATAAGGAATGGGGTATATGTTTTGCAGTCCTAGTATACTTCCTATTCTAGGTGACATCACTTCTCCACAATAGATAAAGTACAGTAAGCATCATCACCCTTAGACAGAAAGTGTGTTGCTGGCAGGATCACCAAGTAAAAATAAAAGGGAAAAAACTAAAAAGGGAAACCTAATGCAGCCATTACATATAAGCACTGGTAGAAGCTGCAATATATGATATTTGTATCCTTGGCTTTTGATACACCATGTGAGAGCTTTAGGGAACCCACGCTTCCCTCAAACAGTGCAGCCTTCACAAGCTAAGAATACTGATGACTGTCTTTACCAGAGGGTACAATCCGATAAGCATGTTCAAGCATGGTGCCCAGGAGCTCTACAGCAAAAGCGCCCAGATGGCATCAGGAACAGTAAGCCAGGCACATGAGTGAGAATAGTGGTCAGTGAGGGCTTTTAATGCTCTTTTAAGGCTTATTGAGAATAAATACTATATATAAATATTTTTGAGTCTATAGTCTTTACACATCCATCATTGGACAAGCAATGTGCTGCATGAACAGGGGAAACTTACTGAGGACAGCTAGCTGTGAAGAGAGTGCGACATCAGGAGCCTGGGAAGCAGGTGGAGATTTATTAAGGTCAATAAGAGAAGGTGGGGCATCTCTGTTACTGGGCACCTTTAAAAAGAAAAAAAAACAACATTTGAGATATTTGATTCAACATTCACATTAGCACTGACAAACCCATCAATTTATCCACAGCTGTCTAAGCTTTTTTTAACTATGTTCTGAAAATTCCTCTAGTTATAAGGCCAACACTGGATAAGAAGCTATAACATTTTATGGTAAGAAATATCACACATCAAAATATAAACTGATAAGCTGCAGAGTGGGCAACAGGGTGGGCAACAGGTAATTTGTTATAAACCACAGAGAACTGAATCCCCTGTTTGTGAATCTACACACCATCAACACAGAAGGATGTCTCACATTAACATCATGTTAACGCGTATTCGCAATGTTGATCAATCATGGGTAAATGTTTCCATTATATGTGCAGAGGACAGGCCAAATTGCAAGGCCACATACTGGAAATGCAGTGGGCCCACAGCAAAGCAAAGCAATCACTGTTGTGCTGGAAAAATTGGGACATGCAAGAATGCATCCTTGATGTCCACAGAGGCCAGAAAGTCTACCTGATGGAGAGATTAAGACAGACCTGGTGGTTGCCATATGACATTTCTGGGCCCGAATGAGGACATTTGGGGCATTGAGATCCAAAATAGGGAGGATGCCCCCATTAGGTTTGGGAACTGTAAGTTAGAGGTGAACCCCGGAACCATTCTGCCACAGGGACTGGGGCAATAATGCCAATCTCCAGAAGACCCGCCAGGGCTGTATGGAGATCTGCTAATCTCTATGATGACACAGGCAGGTTTAAAGCAATAAACAGGTGAGGGAGCTGGGTGTGAAACGTTAACTTGTAGCTCGTGGAAACCACCTTTCGCATCTAAGCAGCAGGTTGTCTAATTGTCCACTAAGGCTATCAGACCACCCCCCCCCCCCCCCCCACTTATGAAAAAAGGGTCTCCT